GCAAACGTCCACGTAGTTTTAAAACTGCTTCAACACTTTCGATGAGAGCATGTGGTTTTATGAAACAAATTTGCGCACTGACTTTTGGTTACCCTTTGCGTCCAGTCCTATCTTCATGCGTCAAGCGACAAGTTCCCACTGTCATCTCTTACCGTCAGAGCGATACACGCCAATCTCTTAACATTAAACGAAACATTGGGCAAGCTCAAACAGTCTTGGTATACTCATAAAAAACCTAGAAGCAACATCATCCTTAGGGTAAATATTCAGTACCCTATTAGGTTCGCAACACGGAAAGTCATTGACTTCGTCTGCCCCGAGATACCCCACCGTATGTCGGCTATAATTAACAAAGGCACGATTCTAGACACTGTGTACTACAAAACTGTGGGGCAGTTAATTGCATGCTCGAGGGGTACTGGCGGAAAACAAGCATTTGAGTTCAAAATTGTACTAAAAAGGAAAACGAGCATTTGGAATATAAAATTTTACCACCTTTGTGCCAGCGACATTTTCTTCATGCTACGTTGCAGTCCCTTTGATCGCATCTACGAAAGGCAAGAAGTCAGAAGGAAAACTTAAAGTATGGATTGGCTTTAATGATCTCTTTAGGTTGTAATTAATAAGCACGAAATTGGAGTGGAGAAGTCTAATTTGATTGCATGCTAAGGCTAAAAGTGGCTGCACTTTAAAGTGCTAGTGGGTCTAGTCCGAGACCTTTTGATTCCAGTAACTTGCCTCTATTGAGTCCCGAAAATGTAACTCGTAACGCAAATGTCTACTGGTTCTCCGAAGCCATAAAGTGAAGAAGCCTTTGGTATGAAATGCATAGCGGAAGTAATTTTCCTGCCAAGTTTCTGCAATCAAAAACTTGACTATGGAAGGGAGGAAGGACGCCCAACTTACCAAATATGTTATCAATCGCACAAGCATTTTCTGGTGATGCGCACAAATTAACGCCAGCTTCGAATTACACCCTCAACATTTTGGCTCCCTTCACTTTGTCCTCAGAATACTTGACTTGTTTTTAAGGAACATTGGTGACCAATGGTGAACTGCCATAATTGCGTGACGCTCTTGCTGCATTCGCTTGCCCAACAGTACAGACTCAACCCATACTAAAAGCGAAATGCATAGTGATCCCTCTAAGGATGCAGAGGTCCGCTATGTTTCGACGCGTTAAGCACTGAGCCTCTCGACTCACATTACCAATACGGCGGTACAATGAGTTGCACAGTCAGTTCCATGTCCATCGCAATCAAACGACTTCACCCGGAAAACATTGTAAGAATTCATGATTTCGAAATTGAGGCTAGAATGCTCCGCAAAGTTGCTGCCAGAAAAGAGATCGCAGTGCCGCCTATCTGCTAAAATACTGGAGAAACATAAATGCGAATTGTGTCAAGCAAATCCGACGGAAAATATGACTAACACTGATAAAGGAGGGAGGGATAAGATTACGGTGACAAACACAAGTTGCCATTTTAATTCCTTAGGGAATGAGCAAATGAATCATCCTGCGTGGAAGTGAGTAGTTTTGGGATGTTTCGGAAGCATTGAAATGTCTAAGCAGCCATGCAGCAGACTATCAATATCATAATCAAGGTTAAAGTAATGAATACACATTTCGTATAAAAGTGGAATCACTACGAAAACATCAAAACCCCAGCCTTGCAAGACAGTCACAGCGAATGAATTTAGAAAACAAGGCTATATTGTTAGCGGTCTATATCTACATGTCAGGGAATCATTTGCGATCTATTGGCCGATAACTTCATTAAGTCAAAAGGAAGAGTAGAGGTTATCAATTCACAATTCCACGATGGTGGATCGCATACTTCGTATGATAGCAGCCGGATCATCCGCATTCGTTATTGCACTACCCGAGACGATCATGTTGGCGCCATTCTAAAAGTCACAAGATGGCCTACTTCTAATAGCAAGTAACAAATACCTCAAAAGGTCCATAGTGGTATAAAACACAAAACACAAAAATCATAAGTGGACTGCATCTAGAGTCGATAGTTGAAGAGCGTAATCGGAACCCTATGAATACGTGATCCGTTAGTCACATGGATACTGTGGCAGTGGATTTTAAAATCGAGGCACCAAAAAAATTCATTTACCTTGATACATTCACGAATTGTTTTTGGACAAACTCCACCATCAACTTCTATATTCAGGTCTTGATACTTTTCTCGAAGCGCTTTCACCTAAAAAAAGTTTGGTACGAAGCTCCATGAAATATTTTTAAATTTGCTTCAAAAGGCAAAACACCAGGCATTACAAAAATGAACATGAGACAGAATCCTGAACACATTACCTTGGACATCATATCCGCCATAAAGGCTTGACCACCAAAGCCAGGTTCAACAGTCATCACAAGTATCATGTCCACAAGGTCAACGTACGGAAAGACTTCCTCCACAACTGTCTTTGGCTTGATTCCCAGACCCACCTAGACCAGACTCAAGGCGAAACGCGATATCAGGAACGCGAAACTCCCAATGTGACAACAAGGTGGTTTCGGCACGTCGCATTTTGACAGTTTAATAAGTTAGAAAAAAAACCTACCTTCATATCAGCCTCTCGAATCTTCCGAATGCATCGCTTGACATCATCAGTGGCCTCGAGATGAAAGGTGTATTGAGTGGCTCCAGCTTGACGCATTCCCTCGATCCACTATCCTTAGGCCAAGGATACGAATAATAATTAATAAATATGAAAGTCGAATTAACAACGAGAACTATTCAAAGTAGTTCAAAAGAGTCGCTCTACAAAACGGAATGTTTGGTTGTGTAGAAATTTCGAGATAATGCCTCTCGTTAGCATAATGCATTTTGGTACCATACGAATAGAGGGTAGGAAATTAACTTCAATGACCCTCCACCTAATAAACCTACATACAAACCGGATGTTGTGTAGCTATAGTATAAAGTTACGTTAATATATTTCAGCTCGTAACACCTTAAAGCCGGAAAAAGGGTCAAAGGTCCAACTTAGCGGTTTAAACCACAAAGCGCTGTGAAATGTCATGGAAATCTATCTGATTGAAGACTACCAACATATTGGTCACAAGCAGCCAAAGAAAGCTAAGCTATGAAGGTATAATACACGAACAACTGGTTTTTGCACAATTAACAAGCCCATAAACCAAATTTGCAAATGTCAAAACAACTCTTCCGCATTTTAGACGGAGATGAAAAATCAGTTCGATGTGTTCAAATTACTCCTGAAGCCCAACTACAACAAACTTAGGAGGGCAGTGTAGACTGTGGCGAATGCCCAACAAGTTAAGGGTCACACAAACCTTCTCAGGTTCTGAAACCATCATGTGAAGGTCCAAGAAGGTACCAGGGGGTAGTTTGGGTCTCAAGCACGAAACAACCGGATGTCCAAAGGTAATGTTTGGAACAAAATGACCATCCATAACATCCAGGTGAAGGTAGTCCGCACCTGAGTCGATCAGCTTCACAGACAAATCTGCCAAAGAGGAGAGGTCACCATTCAGCACCGATGGTCCTATCCAAACTTGACTGGAGCACGGTAGACGCCTACTATGACCGTGGATTTTGCAGTCTGTAGGGAGAATAATGGGAAACCATATCATAAAGAACTCCACCTCCGTGTGCCGTGCAATTTGACTTGTGCTACCCAACTTAAGAAAACTTCGCGGAAACCAGCAAGACAACTTTAGTAGTACAACCAAAGTGTCGAGTTGGCATCCGGAACAAGTTTTAGGCGAAAAAGCTACAAAATCCGCCCATATTTCCTCGCACAACATCCCAATTAACTGATTTGACTTCTGGTTTTGTAATCAGAATACGAACGTCATCGTGCAAGTCAAGTCAAGAATATGGAAGTTCAAGAAGAGCCCACACTATGGATTTCAAAGTCTTATCGTGCTCAAAACCCTACGTTCAACAACCTGACATGCCGGAAGAGCAGAGACAACACGCACTAACCCATTGACCTTGATTATGTTCCCAACAGAGCGTGCGACTACCACATAGATAAATGTACAAGGTTAACAGTCAACGCTATATTACAAACACTTAGACGAAATTTCCTATTATTTTGCGAATTCCCGGGAAAATTATGATTGACTTGGGCATGGGCGAGTAGAAGTTCTAATCTATTTATGAGTGTAACTCATTTTACTCAAAGTTTATTTTATGCCTGGTTAGTTCGTGGTGTCAGAGAACTGAGGCTTTTTAGAAAAGGTAATTAGTTTATTATAGGACTAAGAAGTCATGCTAAGGCTACGCATACATACCAATTCACTAATATTGCACAAATTTGAAGCAAATGGTATGATGGTTTGATTGGTTGTGCAGAGTCCCGAGACTTCCCATCGGGTAGAAGAAGACACTAAGTGGAGCTGAATATATGCATTCCAAAGGCCCAGCTCATGTGTAAAAGGTAAGAAATAAACATCAAGTTGGTTACACACGCAACGTACTTGACGCTATCCTTGGTACACTTTCTGCGTCAGCCACCACAACACATTCGAAACTTCAAGAAAGGCACCCGCGAAATATCCACGCCTGTCAACAGCTACCACGAAGCCGAGGAACTGTACTTGGTCTCCTCAGCATCTTAACCTTCACCTAGAGTTACGTTCGGTCTGAAAGCCAGAATCGAAATCGTATACATCTATTGATCAGCAGTTGCTTTCGTGAATGGATGGTGGAAATCTGGTCCAAAACAGATGCGTCGCAGGGTAAACGGGATCAGACAATGGCCTGTATAAAATTTCGACACAAAACTTTTCCAGATAATCCACGCTGGCGTTGCTTCGGCTGCCAATAGCTTGTCTGCGAAAACGAGGACATGATTAAACCAAACGCAGACATCATGCACAACCCATCTATTGTGAAGGATTCAGATCTTCTCCAACCCCCGATGTAAATGCGCGCCCTCCAAACCGCAGGTATATGCCACAATTGTTAGATACGGAGGTAGAAGTCGTTAAAAAAGTCATGTTCGACTTCCGCTGCCATCATGAAGCGTCCGAGTTCTCCCACGCATATAAAGGTCGGACAAATTTTAAAGTAACCGTCAGATATCAGACGGTCGCACAAACAAAGTATTACACCTTGCTTTCCGGTTCGGTTGTAATCACTTAGGTGACTGCCTTTATAATAGTTTGTTTGTGTGGCAATCTGAGCTTTCGGCGGTTACTTTGACATTTATCTTGCTCTTGCATGCCCAAGCTTGACTCTGGACCAAGCCGAGTCCCGCGTCTTTTCTACCTCAGTTAAGGCATTCTTCCACTAGGCGGGAGGTCTCAAGAACCACAACATTGCCTTTGAGGTGTGAACTAGCCCCCGAGTACGTCGATCGCTCCGAGCTCCTTTACTCTTTGTCCTGGTACTATACCTCCTTGTCAATAACAAATCCTCATTAAACTACATGTTGACTCTTAAAATGCTTTTGATTAATCCTAAAGCACTGCCAATGTCTGCATTAGTTTTTCCCGCTTTTAGATTTATGTTAAAAGCCCGTCTCTTTATCACCTGTCCAAACATTCGCATTAAACTTTAGCATCACTTTTAATGCATAAGGGTTGTTTGAGTTATCATTCGCAGAGGAGATGCGGAATGTCAATTCTAACTCTGTTTTAGAGGAGCGTGGATTTCTGCGCCTATAATCGTCGTGACTAACCATCTACTTGTACTCACCTCCTTTTTTAGGCTGTCCCACCTAAGTTATGCGATGGTTGCGGTTGCGGTGAAAGATCCGGAGGACGGCGGTGAAATATGCCTGGGTCAATGTCATACCTGTGATGCTTTGTTTATGTGACTGCCTGACTTTCGGCGGTCACTTTGGGATTTGTCTGGCCCCTGTACACGCGGGCTGGCCTTTGAGCCATGCTCAGGTCCAATTGTTCCGTTCCCTTCAAAATACATGCATTCAGCCCCACTTACTGCCTTCTTCCACCCTACGGGAATTTTCGGGACGCTACAATACCGGCTTGACTTCGCCCGTATCGATCGCATCTGCTTGCTCCAGGAAAAAAACGTTAGAATATTTTCTGATCAGAGAATGCAGTTCTTTTCTCCCACCATCTGTGATAATTGTTGGCTGGAGAAGAGGCAGCCTTAGACTGATGCCAGTGCCGACCTCGGTGACGAAGATGGAACTGCAGATGGCATCAGCATCTTTCAGAGTATGAATAGTCGAGGTACCTCGCCATTTCCTCGGGACACAAACACGCTCCATGCTCAATTTATGGCCTTGAATAGGGGGTATGAAGTTGGCATCCAATATCCAAATCCATACGAGCTCTGAGTACAATCTAGCCATCCTTTCTAGCTGCTACCTTTACAGTAGCTTCCTCTCCTACCGAAATCTCCCATCTTTGAGAGGAGCGTAGGCCTGAAGTCTAATGGGCTATCTGTATCCCGTTACAAATCGTCAGAAAGGGCCGTGAGTTTAATGAAGATTTGACTGCTTTCAAGTCAATAAGTAAACTGTATGAACGACCTTCTGTCTTGCCCGACACCCTCATAACCTCGTGATTATGGAGGACTGCTTGAAAGTTTTGCCATCTGTCGAGCATTCGGAGGTTGAAGCGGGTATTAAACTTCATTCGAAGTTGTAACCTTTGACGTTTGGCTGCTGCCACGTCTATAAGGCATACCTTCATCAGAATGAGTTACTTCTTCAGAACAGGTAAGTAGATACCTATGTTGAATAATGCGGCGATTCGGGGGTAACAGAAGTCCGTGAAAACACGATCAGTGAGGAATCGGAGGCTTTTTGTCACTCCTTCCAGATTTTTGGAAACTTTGGAAAAAGTCGGGTACTAGGACGAAGTGCATACCTCGGTGGTAAAATCTTTAACTTCGCGATAGAAGGGCTGAGGATAACGCCTGCGCTTGGCAGCCCCATCCTTTCCCCCTCCCACTGACAACCTATTAACAATTGAAGCGACACAGCAGTAAAATCATCTAGAAAACTTTCGTTTTGATGGCCTTCACACCGAACCCACGTAAAAATAATGGCGATGACTTTTCTTCGAAGGTCCTTCCGTACAGAGCTGTGATTAATGCCATCTTTTCTGCCTTGAATCTATTCTAGACTAGTGTTCCAATGTATCTACCTGAGCAAACTTGACGGTTACCAAGAATACTCACTTCTAATCCTCCCTCCTTGCTTTCTTTTACCTAGTGGGAAGTCTTGCAAAGCTAAAATTGTAGCTTTTATTTCACCATTGTTTATTTATGCCCTGGATTAAAGGCACAAGACCTGGCTGAATATTTACAACCAGGCAGAAGGTGTAGGTAAGACTTTGGCATGCCTCGAAGGTCAGTCCACTTAGCAGAATCAAGGTGGTTGCAGGTAGTGAAATGAACTAGGCACCACATAATTACTCGCCTATATTCAATTTTAAAAAAAAATGAGAAACGGGGTGCCTCGGTTCACCTAGATGTTACATGATGAATTGGCCCTTATCTAACAAGGCACCCATCCGTTCAATTAGTGGTGCTGTTTCTTTTGGTTCATCGCTAACATATAACAACATAGGGATAATTTCGTGTTCAAGAAAAAGGGGCTAATTGTATTAAGCAGTTCAAACACTTTGTGAACTTGTAA